TCTCTCTCTCTGTGTGTGTGTGTGTGTGTGTGTGTGTGGTGTGTTTTGGTTGATTTGGCATTGTCTTCTGCTCTGCACGGCACTGTGCCGAAATGGGTGCTGTAACTGTATTGCGCTCACTGGGCTGGGGGCTATATCTTATCTTATCCTGTGTGTGTACAGGGGGCAGAGATGACAGAATACACGCTGCGCTTGATCGGCTCAGAAATCGAACACTACATCAGGAAGCTATTGCTGACAGGGGAGATCAAGTATAACCTCAACTGCAGAGTGCTCAACTACAGCATGGGAAAACCCAGAATCAATCCAAACGCTATCGATCTTGCGCAATTAGAGTCCTAAATCCTTACCAGCAGTTTTTGTTTTCGTTTTCATTTTCTGCTTCGCTTTGTAAAAAGCTCGGACTTTTATAAATATGTGTAACATTATTTATACCTTTTTTTTTTTTTAACTTCTCAATTTGGACTTTGCTTGTATTTTCTCCCCCTCCTCCTCCTCCTCCTCCTCCTCCTCCTCCTCCGCAGCTTTTGCCATTCTCCTAAATCTTTGCTTCAGAAGCGTTTATCCGTCCGAAACACTGTAAAGTTGTGTAAACTCATGAACTAAAATACTCTCTGAAGTTTCTGTACCAATGGGGCTTAGCTCAGTCTGCACACACACTTTCTGCATTTATACTGTTGAAATGCCGACCTGAGTTCGAACCGAGATGGAAGTTTACGTAGACCTGAGTCCGAAACCCCATCTGTACCAACTCTCTGCATTTATAGTAATTTTATACGGTTGAAAAAATGCACACCTGAGTTCGAACCCAGATGATGAAACCAGATGAACCAAATTCGTGAATTACCCCCCCTAGGGCTGGTCAGTTTCACGATCGTATGTCAAGGCTGTCGGGCTTCTTGGAAAAAAAAAACCGAAAAAAGGGGAAACTGTGGCTGTGAGGGCATACGCACACTAGGACCTTTTTTCTCTAAGTTGTGGAGGCAATTGCCGTCAGATTCATCCGTGTCTGGCTGTAAATGCAGTCAGTATACATTTAGAATTTAGAAAAGTCCTCGTGTGCATATGCCCTGACACACTTGTAGTTTGAAGTAGGCAAGAAAAGACGGGCGGGG